AGGGCCCCCGGGCGTGCAGCCAGAACGGGCCTATCCTCCGTCGGGTCCGCCCCTGAACTAAGCGCCCGAGTCCAAGCGAGGCGGGTTCTCGTGGCGCCTCCGTCACAGAGAGCGGCGCCGCCCCCGTCCCGCCCCAGCCTGTCCACGGGCCGGGTGCCCTGGCCCCTGCGCCCCCCCCTCCCCCCCCGGGGTCCCTTGTAACAGCGTCAGCTCGGCCCGCTCGCCATCCCTTCTTTGTGGATTCCTGGGCCTTTTTCTGCTGCCAGAGAAGGGCAATATATTTTCCGGGGACTGTTGTCCATTCTCCATTCTCGTTGCCTCTCTGAGGACTTGCCTTTTCCTTCCTAAACTCCCAGGACACGCCTCCTTCCACCTGCTGTCCTTTCTGCTACCAATGCTCTCCATTTTCCCTCCACTAAAATGCATAGAAGAAATGTCAGGAAGAGTCCAGGAGAGTGGATTTTTAAAAATTCTTGCTATCTCTCTGTTCTGCTCTTTTTACATTAAACAAAAAAACAGTATACTTTTATAAGAAGGAAAAAATAAAGTTGTTTTATTTGAAAAATAGTATTAAATTTAGAAAAATACCCAACCACCTGTCTCTTCTGCTAAGTCATTTTATAAATATAGACTCTACAGGCAGCTACTCTTTTAGAACTTGGAAAGGACAGGGCAGCTGATGGCTCTTCTGAGGAGCCCCTAGATACATGAGGCCCTTCCATGAGGTGAGCCAATAACTGTGTAGTGCAGAGAGCCTTGTTGGATTTTCAGAACTAAAACAACAAAATCTTTACAAATTGCTCCTTCAGAAAGGAAAAGCATATCTTTATTTTCAAATCTCATAATCATGTATTTAGAAAACCTTTAATGGGTCTACAATAAGCTTATTATAGAACTAAACTTAATTTAGCAGGGTTACAGTTATAGATACACAAATTTTCAACTATATTCCTGTATGCTAGTAATGAATAAATGAAAATGGAAATTATGTGTGTTTATAAAATTTATGATAGTTTCCAAAAACGTGAAATACTTGGAAATAAATTTAAGAAAACTGCACACTGAAAAAAGCAAACCCCTGCTGAAAGAAACTAAAGATCAAAATTAATGTAAAAAAAATAAAAAACAAACAAAAAAAAAACATGGTCCTGGATCATGAAATTGAATACTGTTAAGATATCAATTCTCTACAAATTGATCAAAATAGAAATTGCAGCAGGCATCTTTGACAAACTTGACAAACTTACCCCCAAATTTATATGAAAATGCAAAAGACCTAGAGTGGACAAAATAGTTTTAGAAAGAAAAAAAACCCCGCAAATCTGGAGAATTGCATTATCTGATTTCCAGACTTAAAATATAGTAATAAAGGCAGTATAATAATAGAGTACATAGACATTGAACTTAACAAAATGTAAAAAGTCTGCTCTTTGAAAGACATGGTTAAGAAAATGAAGTGGGAAGCTGTGAGAAAATATTTACAACACATGTAACTGACAAAAAGTCTGTGTCCAGAGATATATAAAGAACTCCTAAACTTTAAGATAAGAAGGCAAACAATGCAATAAAAATTATCAAAAGATTTGAACAAACATTTCACAAAAATATGTGTACAAATTGTCAATGAGCTCATGGAAAAATGTTCAATCTCATTAATCACCAAGGAACTGGGGGGGAAAACCCATAATGAAATATCAATGAAATATCCAATTGCTAAAATTAAAAAGTCTGACAATTCCAAGTACATTTGAGGACATGGAACAACTGTAATTCTCATTCATTGCTGGTGAGAAGTTCAACTACTTTGAAAAACTTTTTGGCAGTTTCTTGAAAAGTTACTTATACTTACCATATGTCCCAGAAATTTTACTCTTAGAAATTTTCCCAAACAGATTTCAAAATATGTTTCCTCAAAAAGAAATTGCCATGAAAAGAAATGTTCATAGCAATTTCATTCATGATAGCTCCCAAATGGATACAACCTAAATTTTCATTAACAAGTGAATGTATAAACACATTTTGATATAATCATACGTTACCCAATAAAGGGGAACAAACTACTGGTACAAGCAATAACAGATTAATCTAAAAATATACTCAGGGAAAGATATCAGACACAAAAATGTGCTTTTTGCATGATTCCACTTATATAAAGTTCTAAATGAGGCAAAACTAATTTATCTTGATATAAATTTAATGAAATCAGTGTTTGCTTGGCTTGAAGATTGGGATTTTTCTGACTGTAAAGGGACATAGAACTTTCTCAGCTGAAGGAAATTTTCTGTACCTTGATGGAGTAGTAAGTTCACTGGTGAATACATTTGTTGAAGTCATTTAATTGTATACTTAAAAATGTGTGTAAATTAGACCCCAATAAAGTTATTTAAAAATAAAATATCTAGCCCTAGCTAGTTTGGCTCCATGAATAGAGCGTCGGCCTGCAGACTGAAGGGTCCCAGGTTCAATTCCAGCCAAGGGCATATGCCTGGGTTGTGGGCTTGATCCCCAGGATGGGACATGCAGGAGGCAGCCAATCAATGATTCCCTCTCATCATTGTTGTTTCTATCTCTCCCTCTCCCTTCCTCTCTTAAATCAATAAAATAAATAAATAAATAAATAAATAAATAAATAAAATATCTAGGAATAAATCTAAATGCTGGCAAGACCTTTACACTAAAAATTTTGAGAAACATTAAAGAAGACCTAAATAAATGTAGAAATATACCATGCTCGTAGATTGAAAGAGGGAGAGGATGGAGGGAGAAACACCTGCCCTAATGATTCGGATGTAAGGTCTTAAAGGTCTAAACCAGGATGACAAATTCAGTTGTCACAGTGAAGAAAGATGAAGGCTAATTGACTGTGGAAAGGGTGAGAATCACACAAACGCTCTGAAATGTCAAGATAGAGTGACTAGACAAATTAATAAGGCACATATTAAGAGCACAGAATCTTACTTAAAGATGACTAAAATATCAACAGAAGACTTGGAAGTCAAATTGTCCCCCATAGACCTGTAGTCACCAGATGATATCATCTGGATAAGGGCAAACTGTTGGTGTCAATATTTTAGTCTGCTGGATATAGTTGCCAATTTGCAGGAATTAGAAGAAAGAGAATCAGGTTGGACATAAGGAGGCAGTGAGCAAAATCCAGACTGTGGTCTACAAGTTAAACCGCCCAAGCTCTTCCACAGATAATTGTAAGAAGAAGAAAGAGGTGGAGAAAAAATCCCTACATTAATAGAGACTTTAAATAAGTATTAAAAAATGTAAAGGGGAAGACTAAACTATAGTGTCCTGTTATGCACACTTGGAAGATAAAACCATAAAAAATGAAAGGAAATTATTATGACAAAAGTCAGGATAGTAGTTACTTTCAGTAAGAAAGGGTAGTTTTAAATTAAGATGGGCACATAGCCCAGCCAGTATGTCTCAGTGGATTGAGCATGGTCCCATGCACCAAGATTTCATAGTGGTTTTCACTCAATCAGTATGGAATACCCATCTAGGATAAAACTGCTACAGAGCCAAGGCAATTAAGGGGTTCCTATGTAGCCTTTTACAGTCTAAAATGGTCTTGTTTTGCAGAAGTGTTAGGCTCATTTTGTGTTGTTTTGGTTTGATCACTTTTTAAAAACAATTTTAGAGATATAATTTACATACAATAAATCATACATGTATGAAGAGTACATTTCAAATGACTGGTGAATATCGACAAGTGTATACTCCTGCATAATGACTACTGCCTTGAAGATATGGAACATTTCCATTACTCCAGAAAGTCATGCCCCTTTGCATTCAGTACTCCAACAAACTTAATCCCGGGAAATCAGTAATCTGATTTCTATCACTATAAAGAGGTTTTTACCTATTCAATAATGTTGTATAAATGGAAGCCTGTGGAGAGTAATCTTTTGTGCCTGGTTTCATCCATGTTACTGCCTGTATCAATAGTTTGTTCCTTATTGTTGTTCAACTGTACATGTTTAGTTATATATTGCTGCATAACAAATTACCCCAATATTTAGTGGCTTAAAACCACAATTTATTGTCTCACAGTTCCCATTGGTCAAGAAATTAGACACAGCTTAGCTAGGTGGCTCTCCCACAAAATCTTCCACAAGGTTCCAATCAAGGTGTTGACTGGGGCTGCATTCTCATTTTAAGGCTCAACTGAGAGTCAGTCCATTTTCTAATTTACAAGGTTGTTGGCAGGATTTAGTTCCTAAAGGGCCTTTGGACTAAGGGCCTCATTTCCTCTCTGGCTATTCATAATATTGATGGATTGTTTCCAATAATAGGCTTTTATAAACAAAACTGCTTTGAAAATATATGTACAAATATTTTTGTGAAAGTATGTTTTCATCTATTGTGAGTAAATACTCGAGAATAGAATGGCTGAGTCTTATGGTAAGTATATGTTTGTAATTAAATATTTTTCCAGAATGGTTAAATTTTAGAAATTAATATAGATGAATATAAAAAATTCTCACCAGCAAAATATGATTTCCAGT